AGGAGAGGACACTCAGAATAAGTGGACACACTCTGCTAGTTAAGGAGCTCATGGAGTGTGGGGTGGAGGAAGGCGTGGAATGCCTGGACCTAGATGGAGTTCCTACTGGCCAAGTTGTTGTCTGGGGACAAAGCACCTGATCTGGAAGTAGTTCACACCAGCTCAGAAGACACCTAAGGTGAGGGTACTTGCTCCCAGAAGGAACTCTTTTGATTCCAGAGAACTGCTGAGGGCAGGGTGTCTGGTTACAGAAGGAGATCTTGGTCTACCAGAGGCTGATAGAGCCCAGCACTGCTCATTCTGCTGGTCTCATGAGACACACAGTTCGGGTTCTTCACCTTAGACAGAACAGGGACTGTGTAGGGCAATGGATGTCACCAGCTACTGGGTGAATGAGGGTAGGGACTGGCCATGCTTCTGGTCACCAGGAGGATGTGGAGAACAGGGGAGGGTCCCACCTTTCTCGTCACAAGCTCTGGTGTCTGCTTATGTTGTCAGGCCATTGTCTCAATCCGATGCAGGTTCCAAAGGTTCAAGATGGCTACTTTACATCAAGTCCAGCAACAGTGCACCTACCTGTCTCCTCTCTCACCGATTTTGTTTCGTTTCTTCTTCTAGTCACATTCAATCCACTTCTCTATCCTTTCCTCTGGAGCTTAGAGTTCCAGGATTATCATTCACATCTATGTCATTGCTATAGAGGATCTATGTAGTGTGTCTGCCTAGTTTGTCATCTTGCTGGAAGTCTCGGAGCCTTTCTTCTGAGATACATACTTGGACCACCAACCTTTCAATTAGTAACCAAGTCCTCTACCCATTTGCATCCACCAAGCTTCTCCCCTCACTCCACAGCCAGCTTTGCTTGGATCCATAATCAACACTCATGGAAACAGCAGCCAATAAAACAAACAACACAGTGCATTAAGTAAGTCTATTGCAAAGTTTTTAAAGTGTTCAAGTGCAAAAATATAAGTTTGAGGATTAAGGTGTGCCTGACCCTAGTCATGATCTTTCAACTTCCTCATGTGCATGTGAAAGTTGAACAATACATATGGAAGACTATACAAGAATCGATGCATGTGAGTTATGGGGTTGGAGAAGAATACTGAAAGTACCATGGACTGCCAGAAGAACAAACAAATCTGTGTTGGAAGAAGTACAACCAGAGTGCTCTTTGGATGGCGAGACTTCGTCCCTCATACTTTGGACTTGTTATCTGGCCATGTCCCCACAGAAGGACTTCATACTAGGTAAAGTTGAGAGTCAGTGAATAAGTGGAAGGCTCCCAACAATGTAGATTAGTGCAGTGGCAGCAGCAATAAAGCTCAAGGAAAACAGCAATTGTGAGGCTAGGACAATACTGGACAGTGTTTTGTTGTGTTGTGTATAGGGTCATTATGAGTCGAAACTGACTCAACAGCACATAACAACAACAACAACAACAATCTCCTATTTACTCCCAGCACATTGTTCTTGGTGGTTAAGATATGGCATCCTATTCTGGGCATCTATGTGCACTGCCTTCTTTGGCTTCTGTGCCTGTGTATTCCACTTGCTCTCTGGATCCCAAGAGAACCTCTCTGGCTATGCTGCCAACTCCGCCTACAGCACAGCCTCATAGGAGCTATGTAAACATATTCACTGAGAAGACTTAAAGGTTTATTGTGTTCTACTTTCAAATAGTACTTTCCAATAATTTTCTTTGAAGCAGTTCAGTTATATATAGTTCATCTGTAGTTATAATTGTGTTCTTTTAAAGCATTCATTAAGTCAACAAATATTTCTTGAAAGCCTTCTATGCTCAGATCTTTCACCTTATCTGGAGAGGAAATGTTTTCTCCTTCTCTCCCTGCTTTTCTTCCTTGCTCTCTCTCCTCCTTCTTTCTTTCCTTTCATTCCTCTTCCCTCCTTGCCTCCTGCCCTTCCTTCAGTTCTCCCTCCCATGAACATATTCAGCATTTTGCTAAGTACTGGAAATTGAAAGATGGGCAAAATGCAGTCTTAGCTCTGAGAAAGATTTCAATCTAGTTAGCAACTTAGAAGAAAATATGGATAATTCAATTACAAACAGGTGTAATAAATAAACAGGTTTGCACAGGCTACTAGGAGATCATGTGTGTGGGAAGAGGTGTGGAGGTATCTACCCCATCCAGGGAGGGGTCAGGAAAGAGGAAGTGACCCTGAGGCTGAGATCAGAAGACAGAGGGTTTCTCTGGGATTAAGGTTTTAGATGCTTTAAGCAGAGTGAGTCCTGGTGTGGTGCTGTGGGTTAATGCGCCAGACTGCAAAGCTGTTTGAACTGCAAGGTCAGTGGTTCAAGCTCACCAGCTGCTCCTTGGAAACCCTGTACAGGGTCGCTATGGGTCAGAATTGACTTGATGGCACTTAACAACAACAACAAGCAGGGGGAACATCTCGTGTAAAGTCCTGAGGCAAAAACACACATAGACACACAAAAACCTCCTGGCATGTGGGGATGACTGTAAGTGGTTTGGAGTGTGTTCTGTTGTAGAGCAGCAAGTGGTAAGTCTGTGAATTCACTCAGGGACAGTCATGAAGAGCCCTGTGTATGGAGCTAATGAATCCTGCAAACTTAGAAAACTTAGAAAAAAATTTTGTGACAAAGTGCCATGATTATATTTTTATTTAGAAGGGATTTGGTAGATTATAACAACTCTGAAAGACAGTATGGCATTTCCTCAAAGAGCCAGAAACAGAAATGTCATGTGATCTAGGTCTATATCCCATGGATGTAAGAGTTGTTGTTGTTGTTATGTGCCATCGAGTTGGTATGGATTCATAGCGACACTATGCACAACAGAACGAAACACTGCCTGGTACTGTGCCAACCTCACAATTGTTGCCACGCTTGAGCCCAGAGGTCACTTTACACCATTGGCTTATAATACAAACAATATCACCCATAAGTAATGTGCTCCTTTAAATAATTAACTATATGAGACCAAACAGTCAACAGTTACTCTAAAACAAAGATGAGAAGTCAAGGAGGGACAAGGGAGCTAGATTAATGAAAACAGCACAAACAGAATGGAAAAATGAAATTGCAGACACAGTGTGAAAAATGTAGCCAATGTCATGGAGCTATCTGCATAAAAAAATAGCTAAGTTGGAATCCAAGTTTCTGTGTAAACTTTCACCTAAAACACAATAAAAGTATTATTTAAAAAAAAACAAACAAGCACATGTATGTTAGTGTGATGGTTGAATAATGTCATGCTGACTTATATATGGGAACAATGGAATGATAGCAAATTAGCAAGGAGAAAAAAAATAAAGATTTAACTAGCTTAATGTGGCTGATGCAACTGTAAGGCAACCAATAAGCCTGAAGGTAGGGAGTCCAGTTAAGAGGCAGTGACAATAGTAGTAGCATTAGCTAAGAAGACAAAGGTTCCTGCCTTCCAAACACTTACAGTCCAGTACCATACAGAATGAGGTTAATATTAACAGAGGCAGGTGTGCAGAATGACAGAGATCATAGCTCTGGTCTTTACGATTTAAGTTTCTTCTATCTTTAACATTCAGCCAGTCTAATTGATGCTGTCCTCTGAACCCCTTTGAGGTAAGGCTTATGGAATAAGCAACAGGGAGCAAGAATGTTTATAGCAGCACTTTTCACAAGAAGGAGAGCCAGGAAGCAACCTAAAAACCCATTACTGGGAGAGTGAATTGATCAACTCTGGTAGAACAACAATGGAATATTTTAAAGTATATATATATATATATATATTTAGGGAATATACATACATATAAGGATGAAGGTGAAATATTGGATGACAATTAGTTGGATGGGGAAAATCAGGGATGGAGATGAACTCAAGGGACCGCATGGCTATAGTCAGTTATTATTAAGGTCTTTCCTTTGAGAGTTGGGTTTAGAAGTGTATTATATTGTTCAAAATAACTAAGGAAATGACTAAGTAATAAATATAAGACATTCATGTGTGGATCACTGATGTGGGAGTTTCATACATTGAGACTATGATGTATACAGTGATTCTTAAGTTCAAGAAAAGATGAAAGACAAAAGACAGAAAGAAAATAGGTAAATGATGACAATAGCCCAATACAGGATAGCTGGAGGACCAGGGCTGGGAACAGGAAAGGGGAAATCAACAAATCAGAGGAGAGAAGAGAGTAGAAAAGAGGGAGAAGGGCTAGAAGGAGAGTGGAGTGGAGGGAAAGGGAGGGAAGGGGAAGGGAAAAGAGGAGAGCAAAGGGAGCAGTGAAAAGGAAGGGAGCAGGTAGGAGAAAGGAAAGGGACAGGGAGGAGGAGGCCAGGGAAGGAGAAGAAGGCCTGAGATAGCACAGGCTGGGGATTCTGGGAGGTGAGGACATGAATAAAGGGCTTGGGTATGTTGGGGCTCTCCCAAAGGTTGGTGTTTGGTTAACAGAGGGAGAGTATGAAGCTGTAGGAGTCCTGGTGTGGTGCTGTGGGTTAATGCATCAGACTGCAAAGTTGTTTGAACTGCAAGGTCAGTGGTTCAAGCTCACCAGCTACTCCTTGGAAACCCTATACAGGGTCACTATGGGTCGGAATCAACTCCAAGGTACTTCACAACACCATGACACTGTAGGAGAAGCACCCTACCCCAAGGTCAGTTTGAACTGCAAGGTCAGTGGTTCAAATTCACAGCTGCTCCTTGGAAATCCCACACTATGCATCAGAACCAACTCAATGGCACTTGACAACAACAGCAATTTTGCTTTATGATATTGTTTGTTGTGTTCCTTCTGAAAGGAAAATAATGGAGTCAGATGTTACAGTGTCACTCACAGGGAGCCTTTGCCTGGAGTGAAGAGGGAGGGATCTGACTCAGCCCCAATTTTCCCACTGTCCACAAGAACTGGGAGAACAGCTCACCCCCTTGTTCAATAAGTACAAAGAGCTGAAAACAAAGGCCCCTACCTCTCAGTTTTCATGTTTCCCCCCAGGTCTCAGAAATTTTAATCACATTTATGTGCCCCAACATACTCACAGTTTTATGATGTCTGATCCATACAGCTCAACCACTAAATAGCAGGTCGCTTTCAAGAACATTTTTTCTAAGAAAAATAAAGAAGGCAAGTTAGAATATTTGTGCTATTTATGATGAATCTAACAAGTGAGTTAATAACAATTATCTTTAGTAGACACTAAATCTGAGTGATTAAGATTAGTTCAAGTGATTAGTTGTAAGGGTTTGGGGAAATATTGCAGCTAGTGTATCCATTAAAGTATCATTTTCATTTCAGATTTATGTGACTAGCACAGTATCTATGGCACATGCCAAAAGGCCACCAATTTATTATAAAAACATGGTAAAATTGGGGGTTTTATATCCTTTTTAATAGCAGGGAGTATGTGAATATTAACTAACATCTCATTGTTGAAGTTTAAGTAAACAAGACTTGCATTAAAGTATATCATCTGGAAGATGGTAGACGGGCAGACACACTACAGGGACCCTCTACACAAAGATATGGGAGCCAGCCTGCCAGCCGCTCCACAGGAGAAACATGAGGCTTTCTGCTCCTGCAAAGAGTTAAAAGCCACTGCCCAGGATGAGCTGCGCTGGCCCCAGGTGAACTACGGCCCAGGAGAAGCCCTGATATCCAAGCAAAAGAAGAATTATGGAAGCAAATCCTGGTGTGGCCCTGTGGGTTAATACGCCAGACTGCAAAGCCGTTTGAACTACAAGCTCGGTGGTTCAAGCTCACCAGTCGCTCCTTGGAAACCCTATGCAGGGTTGCTATGGGTAGGAACCGACTTGACGGCACTTCACAACACAACATTCAAAACTTCATGCCTCAAGATAGACACTTGATCCCAGTGAAGGGTTTGGAATGGGAAGTAGGAATGGTGTGTACCACTGTTATTTTAAAACCACAAATTAGATAATTGTTCAAACAAATAATAATAAATAAGTAAAATTAAAATAAAGTGAATAATCTGATATCTAACTTTGCTGGAAAGATTCTTGTTTGGTTTTTATTTGGGGACAACTTTTCATGCTGTGTATTTTATTTTGTTGTTTTTGTCCCAGAGATAAAATGAGAGCAGTCAGTGTTAGTCATTGCATTGCCATCTACCCCCTCCCCACCCGCATCCCCCCAGTACAGGCACACACTAACGAATTCCTCACTCACCCCCTCATGAAAGTACAGGGAAGCTTAAGGATTGATCTAGAAAGCCCATTTGCTCCCAGGTACTTTTGTTCAGTCTGTGAGTCTATTGTGGAGCCCTGGTCATTGGACTAGGACCTCCGCACAGCAGAGGCAGATTAGAAGGGATGATCAGTCCTGCCTGAGGAAGAATTAGCTTGCCATGAATGTTGTTGTGAGGTGCCATTGAGTCGGAACCGACTCATAGCAATGTCTGATCCTGGGCCAACCTCACTACCGCTGCCACACTTGACGCAATCAACGATGTCACCTGGATGATCCATCTCTTTGGGG